GATTTGTAACCACTACGCTATCAGAGCTCCTTATTTTTGATATGACTGCCTAAAATACTGCATAGAGGTGTTTTCTTTGCTCTTTGGCTAATAATGTTTTGTCCACTAGTGTTTTTCTTGAGGTTGGAGGTGATCTATTGAAAGATTTTTGTGGTCCTGTTATGATTCTGATTCCATAAGTGTATGATCAGATAGTGTTCTTGTTCTGTGTGTGGTGTATGGTCTCTTGGTGGGTAGAGGAATCAGAAAGCTTGAGCGTTAACTTTGGTGTTGCCATGGACCTTGCCTTCAAGGACATGCAGTTAAGCACCATTAGAACTGCTAGTAGATGCATGTTCATAAAATGTTTGGAGAGTAGGAAGGAAAGACTTATTATTCTTTGGTGATAACATCACCATCATCACTATTTAACTTAGATGTGGATATATCATGAGGAATAGTGGTGATTGAAGGAAAACTCAAATACACTTTGAGGAATAGTGGTGATTGAAGGAAAACTCAAATACACTTTTAGATCATTTTACTTTGATAATGTTGCCAAATGCTTAATTTCTAAATATCGATTCCTGCTTCTTTCCTCTCTCCCTCCTGCTAGGAAAGGCACCAGTGCCCAGACCTGGTTACAAGCCTCAGGAGCCCAACGGCTGCAGCTCCTATTTCCTAGGTCTCAAGGTACCAGAAAGTGTATGTACCACTAACATTACCTGCTTCATTAATTGGGTTTTACTGAGACTAACCCGAGAATTATCTTTGTCAAAAGTGATCATTTATGGAATCAAATTGAGCAATGTAATTATTGTTGTTGTTAAGTGCTGTCAAGTTGGTTCTGACCCATAGTGACTGTGTATAGGGTTTCCAAGAGCAGCTGGTGAGCTTGAACCACTGATCTTGTGGTTCCAACGATTGTAGTCCAGTGCATTAGCCTACAGCGCTACACCAGGGCTCCGAGCAATGTAATTAGATATTTTAAATTAGGTATGGGGGAAGGGAGATAAATTGCAAAGAAGGTATCTGATTTCCTTCTCTTAGAGGCAGCTGCCCTTCACCTAAGCCCTTGTACAATGGTCCAGAGGAGTCCCTACATGCTCAGTTGTCAACTGAAAGGTTGGAGGTTGGGGTGTACCCAGAGTCTTGGTGATCTACATCTGAAAAGTCAGCCATTGAAGACCAGTTGGAGCACAGTTCTGCTCTGCCATACGCAGGCTTGCACTGAGTTCCAGTCAACAGTAACTGGTTTCAGTGGGCCAGATCTTCAGTTCTTTTCTGAGAACATCAGCTGGGCCTTATAAATGTAACAAGTTTGATTTATTTAAATTAATGAGCCTTTCCAGCAGCCTGCTGAGCTGACTGGTGGTGGTGGTTATGTGCCGTGGAGTTGGATCTGCCTCATAGAGACTCCGTTTAGGGTTTCTGAGGCTGTAAATCTTTATGGGAGCAGAAAGCCTCATCTTTCTCCCGCCAAACTGCTGATAGTTTCGAATTGCTGATGTTAAGGCTAGCAGTCCAACTCATAACCACTATGCTACCGGAGCTCCTTGAGCAGATGGATACAAGATGGGTACTGTTAGTAAAAGCTCATTCATAAGATAAGTATTGTCAGGAATTTCAGAATTCAGTTATCCACACACATTGGTAGCTTCAAATCAGCTATGTTTGGAGTATTTACATCAAGGAAATCTGCAAATGGCTTGCTATAAACATTTACCAACACACCACTAAGCCTTTCTCAAACTTTTGTTAAGTGCTGTTGAGTCATTCCTACTCATAGTGACCCTGTATAGGGTTTTCAAGACTGGAATCTTTGTGGGAATAGAAAGCGTCATCTTTCTTCCATGGAGCAACTAGTGGGCTCGAACCATCAATCTTATAGTTCACATTTCAGTGCTTATCCTACAGAAAGCCATACCATGCTCCCTCAAACTGTAGGCCTCCTCTAAAATCAAAACAATAAATAAGACCTTTCTTTTAAGGTCTCTTAGAAACCATTTTGCCTGTCTCACTTGAGAAAAGAGGTTTTGCGTAAAATGTAGGTAGAGGGATTTAACACCTAAACTATGATTTTAAATTATAGTGTAAACTCCACTTTTCTGCCGTTTCAAAAGGTTTTGCTTTGTAATAATTGTCTTAGCAGCATAATGTTTATTCTTGTAATTAAACTTCTGTTTATTAGTGTGGCTTCTTTGTGCAAATTGGGAAAACCTTTCTTTCATTTATTAGACAATTATCTTACTATAATGATTTTACTAGAAGAAGAAACTGACTGATAATGACTGGGGATTTTTCTCAATCAATATTCAAGTCAGTGATGTCTGATGGGAAGCGGCTCCTAAAACAGAGCGGTCTTGTGTATAACACAGGCTGCACACCTTTCTCCACAGTCCTCAGCCTGCAAGGTCGGCTGTTCAAACCCACCAGAAACTCTATACAGGGCTACTACGAATTGGAACCAACTCATCAGCACTTACAACAACACACTCAGCTAATTCTCAGTTATATCTGTGATGTATTTGCAGTTTGCGGAGTAAGGTGCAAAGTTTATTTCTGGTATCAGATTATGGAAATTAATTTAGGATTGCAGACCCTAGTCTGATGAGTTAGATTATTTTAAAATGCAGGGGTGAGGAATGTCTCGCCCTTGGACCACATGCTGTTGTTGTTAAGTCCTGTCCAGTCGGTTCTGACTATAGCAAGTCTGTATAGAGTTTTCGAGGAACAGCTGGTGAGCTTGAACCACC